AACAACAACAATAATTATAAAGAAGTATGACTGATTGGATGAGGGAAAGCAATTCAGACAGAAGATATAAAGAGACGAAGAATAGATAAAAACAGAAACAGATGGTAATAATAATAAAAATTTACTGTAAAGCCAGTTGACACCTAGTACCACATTTTTGCTTTATAAAAACTGTTGGAGGAATGCTAAAATTAGGAAGCTACCATTTGTAACCTTCAATTGATTTTACAAATCAATTTGTAAAAATTGATTTGGGCAAGGATCATCAATGGATCCTTTTTAAAACTACAAGGTGAAAAATTCCTGGAGAATAAAATGTGTTTTAAAAAAATCACTTCACAGATTACTTAGTAATTACAATAGGAAGATGATACTTTTAAAATGGAGAGAATGGTATACATCACCTGAATAAAGTTATCAAACTTAACCTCGCCAATATTAGGACCTGTTGACATCAGGTACCTCTTTCTGTGATGTGTGAGAAGTACACAATATCACCTATGTAATATTCTTGTCAAAGATTCCTGACATGGATTCAGTTATTAGGAAACTATCAGGTCAATGCAGAATATGTAACATTCTACATAACAACTGGCCTGGACCCTTCCAAAGTAAAATGTCATGAAAAATCAAGGCAAAAAAAATGGGAGGGGGTCAGAAGGCCTCTCCTGATTTTAGGAAAGATTTATGAAAACGGCAACCAAATGCCATGTACAGACAAATAGATCTTTGGTTTAAAGGAAAAAAAAAACAGTTATAAAAAGCATTTTGGGGACACCTGGGTAATTTTAATGGATTGTACATTAGGTTGCATTATTAAATTAATGTTAACTTTGGGGGTGTGATAATGTTATTGTGGTTGAGGCAAAGTTTGTCCTTATTCTTAGAATGCACATGCTTTAGTATTTAGGAGTGAAGAGTCATGATGTTTGCAATTTACTTTCAATTGGATTAAGGAAAAAATCAACAATGTACATATATACATATATAGAGAAAGCAAATGTAGCAAAATGTATATGANCTTACTGTTCTTTAAATATGATTTTAAGTGATTTGATTATTAGCAAGGTTAGATATCTTTATAGGTTCAATTGTCATTTATATTTCATGTTCTATGAATTGTCTGTTCAAATCCTTATGCATGTATTATATGAATCTGGAAATTAGATTTAACTCCAGAGTATCTTTTATCAGATCAGGAATAGTTACAGAAGTTTGGTATAGAAAATAAAACCATAGTTTCTTGATCATCTCAAAACAGTAACCTTTTTTTTTTGGTAATTAATTAATTCTTTTATTTATTTATTTATTTTATTTTATTTTTAAATTAGTTTTAGGTGTACAACACAGTGCAATAGTTATACTTTTTACCCCTCAAAGTGACAATCCTCCTCTCCCCAAAACTGTAACCTTTGAATGAAAGAGTGGTGTGTCACATCATGTAAATGGTATGTAAGGATAAGGTATCCTTATATAAACATTAAGTTTATTTAAATATAATTACTTCTAATTAATTTGGCTTACCTTTTCGATTACAGTGTAAGTGCTTTCCATTCCATCGGTAATGTGACTGCTAACATGGCAATGAAATAACCAGGTTCCAACATCTTTTGGAAACATTTTTACAGTTCGATAGACTCCAGGAGGAAGGTCATAAACATCAGAGCGAAACAGCCCAGAATCCTCAACAAGGAGACAAAACACCATTAAATAGCTTATAAAAGGTATCAGTCAGTCACTTACTCATCTTATCATTTGCTGTAACTCACCAAACCTAATAGACTTTGTTAGATGACAATTAGAAAGCATTAGATGCCTATCTGCATACAATTGAGACTTTGGAGGAGGAACAAGTCCCAGAACATTTCAGTGACAGCTACAGGGAAACATCTCACTCTAAAAGGGTTTCTGTGTCAGTGTTGGTGTTAGAGACCTTGTCAGCATCTCCTACAGGGGAATAGTGTAGATTTCAGGAAACATCCCATTTCAGAAATCCCAAAGGTTTTAACTGAAACATTTCTAACTTGGGATGTTGGTGACGTGAAAATGATCATTTCTCTGTATGCAGGTAATCAGGAAAAACTCATGATTACGGGAAGGAGAAGACCTCACCTGGCTCCTGCAGCTATGTCTGCCCTCTGGGGATTGGAGTTGAGGGCTGAGGGCCTGAATGGCTAATTTCTCTCCTAAGCAGAGAACCTGATATTTAGACCACCTCCTTTGTAGTCTACTTTGATTTTGAAAGAAGAAGTCCAGGGTCCTGGCCTGAATAGATTAGAAAGAGTTTAAGAGGGTGATGAATTGTCCTGCATAATAAAATGGCAGGTATTTGGATGATAGGGGATATAATGGAAAGTGCAGCTCAAGACAGAGTCCAGAATAATTTGGAGAGAGAAGAGATGTCAAGAGTCTGGAGAGACAGAATGCAGAGAAAGAAGTCCTGAGGATGAGAGTAAAAATCGGGAGAGCCAGAGGTTCTCAGTGATGCATGGTGAAGCGATAATTGAAGGCAGGGGTATGTAACATCAAATGGTAAGTGCTTTCAGTGTGCAGTACTGAAAAAACAAAAGCCCTCATTTACTCCCAAGCTTTCACTAAAAGTCTGTGGCTTATAATGACCTTGACTTTGGGGTTGCTTAGGGGAATCAAAGGACATGGGGTGTGTTCCATTTTGAAACTGTGTAGGTGCCTGACCACTGCGCTGTACATCTGAAGCTGAATACTATTCAATGTCAACTATAATTTAATATATATATATAGTCACAGGATGTGGAGTACAGCATAGGGAATAGAGTCAATGGAATTGTAGTAGATATATACGATGTCAGAGGGGTAGTAGATTGGGGACGAGGGTTATCACTTTGTGAAGGATGTAAATGTTTAACTATTACATTGTTTTGTACACTTGAAACTAATAAAAAAAATGAAACTGTATGGAGCGATAAGAAAATACCAGCCACAGGAGGTGAGAGGCAAGGGACATGAGCAGCAGCAGGAAACGACAGCTGGCTGCAGCTAGAAGAAATGCAGGCCCTGAAGACTCCCTGGAGACACTGGAAGGTAAAGGAGGAAGGCCGAGCCATTGCCCACTGGATGCAAAGTGGGGACTCAAGTGATTGCTAGGTAGGAAGATTAATTTTGCATCTAAGGTGACAATAATATGGGTGACAAAGATACATTTAGAGAATTTAGAGAACAATGATGAAACTATTTTAACTAGAAATTGACGATTGTCCAAGGCACAAGTAAATGGGCAGTGTGTGCCTGAAGCTGTGGCAACTGAGGAACAGGCGGTGACTGTCTGGCTTGTCGCAAGACCAAGTTAGTAACCCCAGAGGGCTGCTCTGCTGCCCCCAGGAGTTCAGGGTAGGTAAAGCCCAGTAAGTGCATCAATGCTGGAGTCATTAAATTCCACCTCAAGGGGAAGGGGAAGACTGTGATCATCTGTGAGGAGTTTAGAGAAAGTAGCCAGTGTTGGGACCAGGTGGTACGAGGCTCCAGAGTATAAACAGGGTCATTCCTAAGAAAGGCAGTTTTCTGATGAGGCTAAGGGTGAGGGGTTCTGGCATGAGAGCCAGGAGTTCAAATTCTACTCCTACCACTTCCATGCTTGCAGAAACATTCGTTATCTTGTTAATCCTTCATTTCATTCCGCTATAAAATGGTGATAAAATAGTACCTGTCTTGCAGGGAAGTTGTGAGGGTTCAATGAGAAATCCATGCAAAGTACTAAGCATAGCACCTGGCACATAAGAAGTACTTAATAAAGGTTAGCTATAATTATCATTAGAGAAATGCTACCATAAATTCCACTTAATTTGACACCTGATATTATAATCACTTATATGTCTGTTGCCTCTGAAAGAAAGCTCTCTGATTTCCTTTCATCTGCACACAACACTTGGCATGGTTCTAGGAATATCAGAAGCATTTGCCAAACTGGACTGATCTGAACATCAAAATATTGTATAGAACAATAACCAGATTTTAAATCTCTCTCTCTTTTGTTCTAAGTTTTAAAGTTTGATATAAACAGTTCTGAACTTAATAACAACCCAAATATCTATCTAGGCTTCTCCTTAAACTATATGGAGAGTGTAGATGGACGTATAGAAAGGTCATGATTGTTGGACCTGGGTGATGGTTAAAGGGGTTCATTCATGATACTATTCTGTCTACCTTATTCTATAAAATTCCCTATAATGAAAATAGTCTTTAAGCCAAAAAAAAAGTTTAAGAGGAATAAATTTGTTTACTAAAGGATAGGAAAGAAAGTGACACACCAGTAAAACTTTGTGTGAATTAAGCCATGCACACTCATTTAATTTATTTCTATGATAGTGCCTGAGAGGTAAAGAAGCTATGAACATAGTACATCTAATATTCAGGAAAGCTTTGTGTGAAACTTCTATCAGTGTGGAAAAGATGGACTGTATTATGCTAAGTGGTTGAATTAAATGATGGAGGTGTCTAATGTATAAAATATAATTGGTCCTCAATTATACATTAATATTTACATAAGGGATTAGGATGGGAAATAAATAAAATGCTCCTTAATACTAAATTGGAGATGCAAAAGGAAAAGGATAAAATTGAAAATCTTATTGTGAATTCGAGAATGGCCAGT